GGAGACCTTATTGCTCTCTACAGCAACCAGAAAGAGGTTGTAGCAAGGTGGTCATCAGTCTCTTCTCCCAAGTAACAAGTGAGATGACAAGAAGAAACAGACTCAAGTCACGCCTGGGGAGGTTTAGTTTGGATGTTAGGAAAAACTTCTTCACTGAAAGGGTTGTCAAGCATTGGAACAGGCTGCCCAGGGAAGTGGCTGAGTCACCACCCCTGGAGGTATTTAAAAAATGTGCACATGTGGCACTTAGGGACATCATTTAGTGGTGGACTTGGCAGTGCTAGGTTAACAGTTGGACTCGATGATCTTAAAGGTCCTTTCCAACCTAAATGATTCTATGATTCTAAATGCTATTTCTCAAAAATACCACAGGAAAACACTGATTTGTTATAAACGAATATTTCTACGTGCTTTTTCCATCTGAAAATTTCAAAACACATTACAGACATGAACACAGTACTATGAGTCTCACAAATCCCTTGTAAACTATAAAATAAACCAGGCTCATAGAAGTTGCCATACAGATCTGGCCAGTGCCTCACTTAATCTAGCATCCTGTCCAACAGACAAGAATAAAATGCTAAATATCACATGCCAACATATTAAACCCTACCATGCTGTCCCCCAAAGACAGCTGAGCACACATGAAAACAGTAACCTTGGAGCCTGCTGACTCCACCTCAGGAAAGAAGGATAATTATACACATAGGGGTAACTAAGGAGTCTGACAGTTTCTAGTGCAGTCCCATTGATTTTGGCCCAAACTCAAAGGGTCTGCATATTTATGTATGGATTTCAGGAAAACAAATGTCATGGTTAACTACTTACAAGAGTGCTTTGGGAGAACCAAGTATCAGTATCCATAAAGATAACAGCAATTTCCCTTCATGAACCCATTTGTGAGAAACAATTAACTTTTTCCCACATTCTCCCAAGTTCTTATGCCACCACGTTGCTGTGGAAGTTGTGCAGTTCAGTCCCACTTCAGCAGTTAAAGACTCCTACTGTTGTCAATGCTTATGGGTTTTGGTGGTATAATGAATTTAAATGAAGACTAGAAACCTCTTTCTGCCCTCCCCAGGGGTGTTGCTTCTGTCCTGGAAGAAACAAAAACCAGAACACCAGCTTCTAGAAGAGGGCAAAAGAGGAAAGTTCATCTGTTTGTTCAGAAACCTGTTCCTATCCAAGCAGTAAAGCAAACCTAATTGATTTTAAGGCAGGCAGGATGTCCCAGAAATTTCATTACTTTGCTGAATTGGCTGATATCCTATTAATGTGCACCAGACATACAGAGGGTGGGGTGGAAAAAGGGATACTTGGCTGAAAAAATGTCTGCTGGACAAACAAAATTAAGGAATCTTTTACTTAATATATTTAAAAAATCCTGTGTAGGATTTTGTGCTTAATTTCCCTAGGTTTGTTTCATACTCGTTCTGCCATCTGCTGCTCTAACATTCCCCAAAGTTTCAGGAACAGAGGCTATGTCCCCAAGCTCTCCCAGAAATTAATACTGCATGACTAAGAACAAGCACCCAGCAGCACAGTGGCCTATCCTGTCCAGAGATTCTACAGTTCTGGAAAACTGCCTGCTTAAATCCTCCTTAATAACTACATTATCACTTTATGTTTTGAAGAAAATTACCTTTGGGCCTCATGGTCTACTACATCTCAAGAGGTGTTTTCTCTCTTGATGGGTAGGATTTTCCAGTGAGGATTAGCATGCTGGCTGTACTACCATGGAAGTCCGAAGTAAAGGAAGATCCCTAAGACTGTAACCACTGCCCCAGCTCCTCCAGGGAAAGAAGGATAGAAAATAGAGCCAGGAGGAGCATCTTCAGGAGGTCAAGTGACTGAAGAAATAATGAATTCTAGCTCTTGAAAGAAAAAAATGTGTCTGCTGTGCAAGTCAGAACAAAACACAGGTTATTCACAGACTCATAGACTGGTTTGGGTTGGATGGGACCTTAAAGACCATCTAGTTCCAACCCCCCTGCCCCGGGCAGGGCCCCCTTCCCCCAGCCCAGGGTGCTCCCAGCCCCGTCCAACCTGGCCCTGAACCCTGCCAGGGAGGGGGCAGCCACAGCTGCTTGGGGCACCCTGGGCCAGTGCCTCACCGCCCTCACAGTCTCACAGTGAAGAATTTCTTCCTTATATCTAATCTAAATCTACCTTATTTCAGTTTAAAACCCGTATTCTTTGTCCTACCACTACATCCCCTGATAAAAAGTCCCTCTCCAGCTTTCCTGTAGTCCCCTTTAAGTACTGGAAGGCCACAAGAAGGTCTCTCCAGATCCTTCTCCTCTCCAGGCTGAACAACCCCAACTCTCTCAACCTGAGAGGTGCTGCAGCCCCCTGATCACCTGCTGAGGGTGCACTCGATCCCACTTTCCATATTACCAACAAAGATGTTAAACAGCGCTGGCCCCAACACCAACCCATGAGGAATGCCACTCGTCACTGCTCTCCACTTGGACATCAAGCCCATTGACCACAACTCTTTGAGTGCAACCATCCAGCCAATTCCTTGAACAGTATTGGTTCTACAGGGTTACAAACTGTGAAAAGCAAGGAAAACTTGGTTTTGCACTACTTTTCACCCAAGTCTCTGGAAGAACTGTGTGCTTTCAATAACTTCCTGGAGCAGAATTTCACTTTAAAACCAAGACTACACAGATAATCACAGGCTGCTTTTTTTTTTTTTTTTTTTTTTTCTTTTCCCCAAATACAGTAATATGAGAATTTGTAAAAGTGATTACTAACTTGGGAATTTTTGGACCTCTAAGTCAAGCTTCCTTAAAAAGTGCTGATTTTCAAAGCACTGATATCCAATACCTCCTGGCAGAACCACCTTATGATGACTGAAATGGCATCTCAAGAACTGAGGCACCTTTATTCACAATTCATTTCTGAAAGTGGGTATATAACACAATTATAAAAGAACATATGTGTGTAAAATGATAGTAATTTAATCAATATGGTGCTGCTACAGGTAGGGTAATTCTAGATGTCTTCCTCTAACAGTAAACTGCATGTCTAGTGGAAAGATTTCTGTGACTTTAAGAAAAGAGAATTTATCTAAAAAAAGAACAGAGATATCAGCAACAGGAAAATACTTACAGGACATCATGCACATATCCCATTTCATTCATGGACTTCATAGACATATCACTATTTATATTGCACTTCTGTTTCAAATTTGCTTTTAATAATATATACTAATGTTTACTTTAAGGTTGATTTTTCTAACTGTACATTTAGTTCTTCTGCTTAACTAGAACAGAATGAGCCCTTGGCTTCACATGCAAGCAAGGTGGTGCACCTGATAAACACAGTTCAGAACAGAGTAAAACTCTGCTATTTTTAAAGCAGGTCATAATATATTTTTTATAATGGAATTTTAAAGGCTTGAAAACAACATTTCATACACTTGTGATCTATTACTTCTCAAACAAAATCAGGAAAAACTACATTTAATATCTGAATGTTCTTTAGGAAAACTGCTCCCTCTTTCCACCATCAGATGAATGCTCTTAATCCTTTTCAGCCAACTTTGTGCATCATGAAGTAGCGCAGAGCCCAGTTTCTGCCCTTTTCCCTTTGCCAGCTCCACCTCTCAAGTACCTCCAAAGTGATCCAGGAAATTTGTGAACAGCTTTGTATTTTGCACACACATAAGAAAAGGAGAACTCATTACAGACCAGAATAAGAAGTGGAACACAGTGAACTTACGAGAGCAGCAGCAGTAAGAGTATGTTTCTATACAACAGTGAATAGTCTTTAGAAACAAGTCCAGAAGATGCCTTTTCTACCTGCATTTGACACACTTAAAACCTGCTACCTGAGAATCCAGAGGACTACTGCTGCTTCACAGTGTCCACTACTCCCAGGAACAGAAGTGCCTTCATTATAATTTTACTTCTAATGAGCAGAATAAACCAGGATGGCTTCCTCTCCTCTGGCACTAAAGAATGCAACATAAAAGCTAGAAACTTTGTGGTGTGGCAGTAAAACCAGGAGCATCAATTTGAACACATGTGGGTAGTAATGCTATAGGAGTAAGATGGTACAAATTTCACATAGCAATTTTTATGACAGCTCTCTACTTTAATGGGCAGAAAATCAATAACATTAAGACTGAGGGTCACAACCTTTGGGAAGAGTTACATCAGTGCAAAAACAGAATAAACAAAGCCAAAAGAGATTATAACTGCAGATATCCCAAGGGACAGATGAAATCATGGGTTATGATGTTTTTAAAAACAAAAAAAAAGTTACTCCTTCAAGCAAATCCCAAATGTCTTGCCTCCCAGTTTTTCACATTTTTTTTTTATTTTAGATTAAGAGGTGAAGATTGCAGTCGAAAATGCTACTATATTTCATTCAAAAGCATGAAGTCTCTTAGTGAAAAGGGTAAGCATTCTCTTTTTTGCAGGCATATTTCTGCAAAATTGGTAATATACTTAATGCTCAAAGTTAAGCCTGCTGGTGCAGGCAGCAAGCTTCCACTTGCAACCAATAGCCGTAGAAGACGTTCACTATCCTAGAATGTAGATAGCGTTCACTATCCTAGCAGTCACAGCTGAAATCTGGCACAAAGAGTGGAAGGGATAACAGGAAAACAATCATGGCAGTGAAAGGACTAGTCTCCTACTCCTGCCCCAAAATCCCTGTGCAGGAAAGCACTTTAAGGATTATGCTTCATCTCCACAACACGAAATGCACCAAAAGCTCAAGGAATTCGCATGCCCATGACAACAGGCCAACGCTAGGTCCTCTGACTTGGATAAGCCCGTCCTAACACAGGGAGGCACTGGAGGACTGGCCATACCTGAAAAGCAAAGTCACTCATGTCCCCCACCCCAAATAAGCAATTAGCTGTAGAATGCCAGGTTCACAACACACGTGGCATAACCACAAAGGCTGAAGGACACAGTTAGTCCATCTGACCAAGCTCTGCTGGTGTAGCTTTATTTACATTCTCTTTGTTGTTAAGTTCTTACCTGTCTTGTTGGCAAGTCATGATATTGTAGTATGAGCCTGGTGTTGACGCTGTGACTCCATGTGTTGCCAAGGGCTGCTGTCACATAAGCAGATTCCCTCTTCCCACTTCCAGAAGCTTCTGAAGATAAATACAAAAGAAACTGCATCAGGACTGCATGACAGAGAAGGGTTCAGCATGGTAACTTCAATCAGTCATCTCAGATTATTCCCTACGTTAGGTAATCACCATTGGTACTTAATGGAACTATTGCATGAATTTCCTACCTGATTTATTTATACAACTGCAGTGTGAGTTCTCCATCTCACCTTCCGATACCTAGACAAAGTGCCAAGAATTAAGGATACACTTCAAAATTATACCTACCTTTCTGGAGAGACCAGTACATTTTCTAAATATCTGGAGATGCACCATGCATGGGGGACATTTGTCTTTTCCTCTTTAGATATTCTGTCCCCAAACAAACCAGCTTTCTATGGTCACAGAGGAGAGGGAAGCAGAGTGACAGCATATAATTATAAAACAAAAAGGGAAGCTAAAGGAGTGGAATGTGGTGCCACAACACCCCAATCTCAAAATCAGAATACTGCTTCATGCCATTAGGCATCCTACACATTTTCTAAGATTTGCATAGAAGGGAGCCATTCTGATGTCTCTGAAATCATATGAACTTTTTATGACCCTGAAGGAAAATGTATTTTGCTGCAATCAGCAATGACAACATAAAGAAGTGTTTCCAATAATGCCACATGATCCAGCTTGCTGTACTGCCACTACACCTGAGCTCTCTTGTATTGAAACCAAAGACCCCTACATACACACATATACATATGCAGGTAGGTAGGTGCCTGAGACCTTCATCTTTGCTTACCACAAGTTCTGTGTAAGATGGACAGGCAGATGGGAGACTTGTTTGTACTTAAATGACACTTCAAGAACAGAGCAAGCCAGACAAACCAAAGAAATTCAGAAACAAAATCCCAATTGTTACATGGGTATAAATGATGCTGTGCAAGTGTAAAATTGAACTGAGACAGACAGTCCACACTGTTAAAAAGCTGTGAGTGAATGAGAGGAGGTTAGATTTAAGGTCAGGGAACTTCCTGTCATCTATCAGGCAACAAACAAAATTGCTTCCCCGAGACAGTCATGAAATCCTTGTCGACTAAGTCAGAGTTAGACCAGAGACTTACTCCACAATACAAACTTCACAGCAGCCTTATGTTTCTGTCAAAATGATCAATAATGAAAGTTAATGTTGAAAATTAAATTGTAAGTACTAGGTTTTGGAAACAATACTGTACTGAGATGACAAAATCATCTCATGGCCCTGTGGAGCTTCTGGAAGGTTCGGGTTTAAAACTCTTCATTGATATTACATTTGCAAGGCTGTGGGTTTTGTTACTTTTTTCCCCCAACTATTCATGTCAAAACCATAATTTCTTCATTCACTAAAACTTTTATTTTGGAAAAATATCCAGTTAAGGGTAAGACCAAAAGTGTTGGCATGCAGTAATAATCATTATTTCTATCACTGCCAGTAGCTTGCAAGCAATGAGAAGGACGCTGTATTAGACTGCATTAGGCAGAGGACGAGAGCAGCAGGCTGGAGAGAAGGGCCTGGAATGATTACAGTGTGCTACAGCACTTGGCTGAAGACCTCAAACCTTTCCCCTCTCCAAGATAATACAAGGTTCAATTAACATCACCTGGATTTCAATTAGGTCTTTAAATGTTTAAGGTCTACAAAATAAATGAGTGCAGCACCTGGTTCAAGCTAATAGTTTGACACGAGTCTGCACTTTGTACTTGCCTGAATTACTTCCCATGTCATGAGAACTCACTGCAACATGCACAATACTCACTTCTCCAGAACAGTATATGTTCTAATCTGAAAACAGGCTACAGTTGTGCCATTCAGCAAGGATGGCTGTTTTTCTTTCCTCAAAACAAAGGTATTAATATTTTGATAAGCATCAAACTTCCACCTGAGTAACTCACCACAAGAGCACCTAATTGGAAGTTTCAGTATTAGGAATGCTGTTCTGTTAATTAATCTAACCCATCTCTATTGGGAAGGTGGATGTGCTGACAATAATAATTTCTCTTCATCTACATTTTGGATTTAATTTACCAGCTGGAGGAGAGAACAGGTTCACGTGTTAAAGCAGGGTGCTGGGAGGTCTGTATTCCATTCCCTTAACATGACTTAAACCAAGTTACTTAATTAAGTTCATTAAGTTCCACAAACTTTTGTTTTAGAGCTAATACCACATAAGTAAAATGCCACTACTGTACAAACAGGCTAAGGGAGAATAAAAGACAGAGAAGCAACTTTAAAGTTTTGCAATCCTCTCTTTGTCAGGTGGAATAAACTGCAAGTTCCTCCTGTAATTGACACTGTCTTTCTTTCTCACCTGCTAGAAACAGGTAGGAATCAAAAAATTCAAGTGAGGCAGCTAAGCATGAGTTCTGGTGGGTGTGGAGATGCTCCCCTCACAGCTGGTGTAACTGCACCCCCGTATGTATCTGGAGGCCACCACTCCACACCACCAAGAAGCGGTTCACCCACCACTGCTTAGGGGCCTCTGACTACAGACAAAAAGCCCAGACATTCCAGAAGTAGCTACTGTTAACATAAAGCAGCCGCAAAATTCACATCCAAACTTCCCTCAAATTACATGTCTCTGCTATTTGCTAACAGAAAGAGCAACATCTTGCTGTTGCAATCCTGAGCCAGGCATTTAAGCGGTTAAACATTTGGAGCCTGTTGATATTATGGAGATATCACTCCATAGCAATTCCTAATTCTGCATTCCTTCCAGGCCTAAAACCTGTCCCAAAGTGAAGTGCTAGAGGTATAGGCTTGTGGCAGAACAAGCAAGCTAATTGCTGTCATTTATTTTATTTTATTATGCAGGAGAAAGCCCACTGTACCATTCTGTGTCAGCCCCTGCCTGAAGAGGGCTGCTTGTGTGACCCACTTTCAGGCAAATCCTCTTCTGTGAAGTTATTCAAATTTATGACTCTAGTGCAAAGTGGTTAGTAAGCCTGGAGCAAATTTACAGCGAAGACTTTTTATAGGGTGGAAAGGAATGCCTCACAGGAACGGTTTCCATTTTATAAGGAATCCTCCTGCAAGCTGATGCATTAGGCAGACAGAGAGGCAAATCAGCAAGAAGTGAAGTCAACTGAGGGGGAAGCAGCGCCAGCTTTGCAAAGAAGTTCAAGGGCAGTGACAGCACATGCTTCATTCCTTCCCCTTGCTCTAAACACAAAAAGATAGTAAATGTCTCAGAGGAAGGAAAGAGGATATGTTAAGAAAACAGATTTATATTCAAATATGGCCTTAGAAAAAACTTGGACTTAGCTTTTCTGTTATTTCAACCACTACTTAGTAATTAATGAACTAGACCAAGGAAGTGGAGAAATAATACTGTTCAAACAGAGTGCTATTTTCCAGCACACATTGCCTTGTTCTTCCAAACCCTGATATTTTCATACTTAGAGATGGGAGTATCAGACCAACCTTGGCCCAAGAAGAAAACAAGCTCATAAGGGACTTTGGTCCCTGCTCAGAGGTCCCTAAACTGTCCAACCTCAACCACTTCAAAATGGTATGGAGCACCAGCTTCCAGTTGTGACATGAAGGTGCTTACCCATCCCGTGGGGCAGATGCTTCCCCACAGATCCAGAGATGTGCAGTCAGCTGACAGGCAGCAGTTCCCATCTCTCCAGCCTGCTTAGAAGCACAGCTCTTGCTCCAGTCACTGCTGTCATGATGGTTTCTGCTCAAGACAGGGGTGATACAAGGAGCACAAGGACTAGGGAGAGTAAGAAAACAGGGCTGACAGACAGATGAGGGAAAGGTGGCAGATCTCTGCTTATGGATGCAGTATGTGGGAAAAGGCAGTGGGTCTCCAGAAGCACAGAGATTGGATCCCAGCATGGGGAGGTGAAGGTGCATGCTAGAAGGGAGGGAGAAGACCTCTGAACAACCCCCTGCTTTATATATTCAGATCCAGCTCAAGTAAAATGAGGCGGTGACTTTAATTCCTGTAAACACTCCTTCCTTCCTCACACAGAAAGAACTAGCATTAAACTGATCTTCAAAGGGCACATCAGCAGACAGGCCAAGGATTGCACGAGGTACCTGTTCGACTGTCTTCTGTGAAATTGAGCTCTTTAGGGCACCAACAGAGACGCCAGCAGAGACTGTATCTGTTCTGGATCACAAGCATAAAGGAGGAACTAGCTGCTTCACTCTCGCTGAACAGCTGTCACAAGTGAAAATAAAGCTTCTTGTGGTCTGAGTCAAATGCAAAGTAAATATCTCTCCACAACCAGGGGAAAAACAAACCAAAGAAAGAGCAATTCTTTAACTGAGGCCTGCAGTGCTGCTTCCAAGCAGCAGAGGCTCACACTGGGCTCTGCTGCCCTGGAAGTTGTCAGTAGAACTGGGCAGCAACACCAGGCCCTACTTATACACAAGGGCTAGATTAATTTTGTTTGTTTCCCCCCATCTATGTAAATAGAACAAACCTTCTGTAAGTACCTTCCTTATCACTAGAGATGATTGCCACATATAGGCAGGATGGGAAAATTGGGTTTATCCCACCTTCCGTTTTTCACTGGAGGAAACAGTAGGATTGAGACTATTCGGCTAAATACTGATTCTGGGATTATTCTATTATGTCCAACCAGAGTATTACAAGTTCAGACATGATCTCAAAGACCTTCTGGTCCTCCACACATATGGAGGTACCATTTTAAAAACTAAATCTTAATGTAACCAAGTCCCAATTATTGCAAATATGGCTGAAGGGGATTTAATCATAAAGGAGCTTCCATTTCATTAGTGTCTCATCCTATGAAAACTAGGGTAACTAGACCAGTGTCTTGTATCAAGTGAAACAGACTTCTTAAACCAACATTATTAAGTGCAAGAAGTCCTTACAGGCAGAATGGGATAATCCTCTTGATTTAAAAAACTAACCTGCTTCTTGTTGGTATAACTGCACAGACCAATGAATTCCACCCTTTCCACATTCTCATATAGATTTTTGTCTTTCCAGATGAAAGAGTCATTGCCTGACAGGTTCATCCCCACCACTAGGCCC